AGAGAAGGAGGAGAAGGAGGAAGAGGAGGAGGAGAGGAGGAGGATGAGACAGAGGAGGATGAGAGGAGGAGAGGAGGAGGAAGAGGAGGAGAGGAAGAGGAGACAGAGGAGGAGGAGAGGAGGAGAAGGAGGAGAAGAGGAGGAGAAGGAGGAAGAGGAGGAGGAGACAGAGGAGGAGGAGGAGGAGAAGAGGACAAGTAGAGGAGGAGGAGGAGAGGAGGAGGAGAAAGAAGGAGAAAATAGATGGACAGGGGATAGGGAATTCTGGGAGTTGAAGTCCACAAGTCTTAAAGTGGCCAAGGTTGGAGACCCCTGCTCTAGAAAGCTACACCCTAGGTGTGGAATTGTATATTGTGCATGGGGAGGACAGCTAACTAAGCAGGTTTTTTTAAAAATCAAATTATAATGATGGATATGGTTACACTACAAGGATATGAAGAGGGATCTCAGAGCATCAAAGATTGTCTTAATAAAAAGAGGGCACTTGGATAGGAAATGGCCATGGCTATAAGTCAAGAAGACGTTCTTCACAGCTCTCCAAGGGCCATTTTGTGGCACCGCCAAACACATCCACGTTATTGTCGACCCACGGAATGATGTTGCCGGGCATGTTGATGGAGCAATTGGCAATCTTCATAATATCGTCCGGCTTTAAGACTCTGTCCCAGATATTGAACTGGCTCATTTCTCCAACAAACGCTTGGGTGGCGTCAAACCTTCCTCCAACGGTATCCTTCAAGAGAAATGAAAGCAAACCATCTGTTAGGACCAAGCAAATGTGTTCTTTTGCTTAAAAGAAGATGAGTTAAAATCCTGAAAAAGGCAACTTCTCCAACTTCCAAGTATCTAAAATAAAACCAACAACAACCTCCAAAACTGAGAAGATCATCAAATCTCATGAGGCTTTGGAAATGTTACTTTGAAGTCAATCTGCGAGTTCCTAGAGGCAATCTTGCATGATGGAAACGTTCATAATCAGATACATCCTGTGATGGCGTGGCACAAAGGCAACGCAGTCAAATAAGCAATGAGTCCTTTTATTACTTCCAACTTTGTCCCCAATGTCCAGGTTACCTTCGGCTGGAGAAAAACTCTCGCAGGAACAGCCTTTAACTGGAGATAATTCAGTCCATAACAAGGTGCAAGAAAACTGCAACTAAAAATCCACACAAACCAAGCTGAAGTAATTAACTTGACAGGGCAGGAGAAGGAATTTCAGACTTGAAAACACGGCAAAGCTCACACAGTTGGGAAGACACCAGGAACACAGATAAGCCATGATGATACAAGATAAAATCATGTTTGCTCCCAACAGCTTGCTGCATGCAGCTTCCTTTTTTATACATTGCGTTCCCAGCTGCAGCTAATGAAGGGGATCAGGGCCCTTTCCTCCCCCGTAAGCCATGCAACCCACATTGCTCCCTTCTCCGTTCCTCCCTGCAGTGCCCTAGGATGAAGAGGGGGTGGGCCTGGGTCTTCCTCTGAATTCCCTCTTCCTTGTACTACCTCTTCCCTTCTCTGCCCAGCCAGACTTTGCCCTTCCCCAGTTTCCTCCACAGCCAACGGAGCCACACTCCCACTCCCTGTCAGCTGTTCGGTTTCCCCTCTCCGAGTCAGATTCTGACAGGGGCATGATACATCCTCTTCTCTTCCAGTCCTCTCTTTTCTGAAATCCCAGCCTTTTTAGCCAGATCTTTGGACATCGTCTTCTCCTTCAAAGAGAAGACCCTGCTAGGAGACATAGATGGAGATCTACAGGTAGATCTCTCCGCACTTTGCAATGGACCACTCAGGTACTTCTGATTCCCAGCTTGTTCAATCACAACAGCATCTAAGTCAGAGGGTAATTTGTAATGCATACACCCATAAAACAGGATATTTGTAACTTTTGGGTTGAACTGTGGAGTTCTTGGTGGTTTTCTTGCAAATGTTTTATCACCCAACTAGGTAGCATCATCAGTGCTGGAAGGGGGTGGGGTTTGTGGAGAGGAGGAGGAGGAAGAGGAGGAAGAGGAGGAGGAGGAGGAGGAGGAGGAGGAGGAGGAGGACGACTGTGGGGTCCTGTTTGCTCTCTGAGCTTGACTGTTTTTATTGCTTGATTGTTTCATTACCCAACTAGGTAACATCATCAGTGCTAGAAGGGAGTGAGTTTTGCTCTCTATTCATTATCTCTCCTAACACCGATGAGGTTATCTAGTTGAGCAATGAAAAACGTCTGCCAGAAAACAACCAAGCTCAGGGAGCACCAAGGATCATATTATTGCATACATAAATTATAAATGAAAAATAAATGAGAGGCAGCTGAAGAAGACGGGGAGGGAAAAGCAACGTTCCTCTTCAGTGCTGATCCTCCGACACATTCTTCTATTTATTTATTCTTCTTATGTTGCATCAGAGTCAGCTGCAGATCCCAGGATTTCATTTTAAAAACAAAAACAAAAACAAAACCAAAGTGGAACCCACGCCAAACGATCTGCTGCGGCTCACCTGTTCCTGTCCAAGGATCAAAACCCCTCCAGGTTTAATGGGATGCCACGGGGCTAAATTTTCTCCGGTGCCCAATTTCTCTCCATCCTGAAAAGCCTCCCACATCCCGTCTCTGGTGGTCCAGGTGATGCAAATGTGGTGCCACTTTCCATCGCTGATGAAGAGGGGAAGTTGGGCCACCTTGGCAAAGAAAATCAAAGCAAACATTGTGATACTTTTATTATTATTACTTGTAGTAGTAGTAGTCGTTGTCGTCGTAGTAATATTTAATCTTTAGTGAGATTCACAGCCTTTGGGGCTGGTTGGTAGCTCAACAGCTCGAGTCCTAACTAAGGACCTAGGAACTGTTCAGGTAGCATTGGAGGATATAAGCTGTTCCCAAGTAGGGTGGTTTCTTGTAAAATCAGGGTATTCAAGTCTGATAAATTCAGAATTTCCAAATAGCGAGGTAGCTCTTTAGGTCTTGCTCTAAGGGCTCCAGTCACAATTGGGATAACACATGATTTCTTTTTCCAAAGTCATTCAACTTCAATTTGTAAGTCCCAATACTTTGTGATTTTTTTTCTTGCTGCATGTTTACAATTCGTGCAACACCAGGTGTTGCAGTGTCAATGAACCAACCCTTTTTCTTTTCAACTATTGTTTATGTCAGGTGTGTTGTGGGCCAAGTGCCTGTCCGTCTGAATTCTGAAGTCCCACAAGATCTTGACTTTTTCATTCTCCAGAACCTTCTCAACCTGATGTTCCCAGTAGTTGTTACTATACTCAAATCCAACCTTTTGGCACAGTTTCCAGTGAATGATTTTAGCAACTCGGTTATGGCATTCTGGGTAGTCAGTTTGTGAAATTTTGCTGAATCCACTGATTAAATGGTCAACTGTTTCATCTTTCTCATTACAGAGGCAGCATTTGCTGTTGGTGGTGACATTATTATTATTATTATTATTATTATTATTATTATTATTATTATTAT